ATTGTTATTATGTAATCTTAACGAGTTCCAGCTACTCAATTATGATATACAACTATCCTAATAATAACTAGAAAGGCCAATATTTGCTTTGGAGCAAATACAGCGATGGGTTCACCACATTTTACGACATGGCAGGGAAAGAATGGGAAACACAAGAGAAAACAATGATTTACATTGATATAACTATAATATGAAGTAAAATACAACTAAAACAACAGTTGGATAGCTATTCCCTACTTTATTGGTTAGGATTTTTAATTGCATAATGCAAACTGTTGATTTTCAAAAAAAAAAAAAAATGTCCATGCCCGGCATTCCAATGCTGGAGCAGGAAAGCTTGAAATACCTACCAAAACACTTGAATACAGACATACTGTCAGTATGGAAATGCTTCTGTGCAGGTGTTAATCAAGTTAAATCCCAACAGCCAATCAGCAAGAAGTATAGAGGAAAGCTGCATGCCTGTTGGTTGATGCCCTGCATTCCATTGTGATGACTCATGCCCAAACGTGGTAAACAAGGCACACTAACACAGTAATACATTAGCTATAACACAGCCAAAAAACTCAAATAAAACCATTCTAAAAGCCTGTATCACAATAATTTAAAAAACGCCTAGGGGTATTTGCCCACTGTACCTCCATACCAAAATTCAGGACCTTGGGCCCTAAAATGAAGAAGCTGAATCCATTTAAAAAATGGCAGGAGAAGAAGAAGGAGAAGAAACATCAGAAAAAGCAATATGGTTTCACCACACCACTTCCTGGTGTGGTGAACCCATAAATAGAGGCAGCTGCTAAACCTTGTATTCTAGGATGAAGACTCTAGATGAGAGACAATTACAATATTGTTGTGGTGTTGGTGAACGTTGGCAGTCTAGATCACATGTCTGCCCAATTATGACCCAGACCCAGGTCTTTCCAAATAGCAGGGTCCCAACTCTCAAGGCTCAGGTATTGTTTGTACACTCAGGGCTTGAAAGAGGTGAATATCCACTTTAGTGTAAGACGAAGGACTACCAAATGAATGCAGGTACAATTGGACAGGAGGGAGCTGTGCAGGTATTTCTGATGTCTACCTGCACCAGCCAATCCACTGGGTTCCACTGAACAGTTTTTACCGGTAGTATCAGGACTCGAAATTAACAGTGTCCCAATGGCCACTGACCAGTAGAATTTAGGCCGGGACAACTAAGTAAAAAGACTCTTTGGGACATTTTTGGGACAACAGAAAAATAATCAGAATGTCAGCTTTTCTTTTTAACCAGGCCCAGGTCCCGGCTTTTGGCTCCGGAAAAGTCCCCCTCGAATTTCCTGTCTACTCTGTAATTATAGTACACCTGGGATCAGAGAGTAAGCAAAAGAAAGTTGATTTCAAGTTGAAGTCATACAATACTCCCCCCCCCCCAAAAAAAACAGGTTGGGACAGTTCATCCTCACTTCGGGACAATTGAAATTTATTTTTGGGACAGTGCTGGGACAATGGGGAGAAAAGTTAATTTCGAGGCCTGAGTATGATCCACACTAAATTCTGAGTGCTGGAGGAAATATTTGTCTGTTGCAGGTAATTTTCAGTGTTACCTGCACCAGTGCAGGTATGCAGAACAAGCTTTTTAAACCCAGCTGTAGACCAGCACGTCGGCAGAACGTACTGCGCCTGCGCAGAACCCAGTATTTTCGCGTTTTTCGTTGGGTTTTTGGTCAACGTTGCATCAGAATTTTTCCTGTTGCAGAGGATATTCTATCCGACACAACATTTGGAAACTACTGTCAAAATGCCAACCTTATATGAGTGAATACAACGTTATATGAGACATTCTGCCGAAATGCTATGTACAATACATTACGGGTTTCGCGCAGGCGCAGTACGTTCTGCCGACGTGCTCTGTAGACCTGCTGTCTTAGTTAGAAGTGGGACCCTCCAACACACCTGAGTGTTTACTGAGGGAAGCCGTCCATGTCCACAGCTACTTACCTCTCCCTGAGAATGAAACATGAGCTTTGTGATCATCTGGTGTTTTGTCTGCCTTGTTTAGGCCACAGCAAGTAGATTTTATGGATGACATCCTTCGCAGACTCCAAATCTAATGCAAGCGAGCGAAAAAAAAAAAGGCAGGCCGAAAAAAACAAGGTTTCTAAATTTTAAAATTTTGACTCTATCATTGAACAAATGGTTTTGATTCAGTGGAAACATCACATATACACAGCCAACATCACATATCACAGCATCAAAGTAAGAAACAGAACATTAAACCAGAGCCTTTTCTTGTCTCCTCACTTCATAGTTATCTGCCATCCATGTTCCGGCATGGCAACAGACATCTTTTCCCATTTTCGGCATGTTGACCACTGTCAGAAGGCGACAAAAATTCTTGTTTTTGAGTAAGAGTAATGCGCGCGCTGATGTCATCCATGAAAATTACTTGCTGTGGCCTTACCCTCTTTTTCTGTCCCCAGCTTGCTGCTTTCCGGAGGAGAAAGGCAGCCAAAGATGAGGACACAAAGAAGAAGAAGAAGAGGAAGAAGAGAGAGGAGGCAGGGGCAGCAGGAGGTGGTCAGCTGAGTTCCCCTGACCCAGACTCTCAGTCCAAGTCCCTGGACATCAGCACGGCCAGTAACAGCAGTCTGGACCTCACCTATCACTCCTCAGAATCCCTGTCTGCATATGATGTGAGTTATGTAAATGTATTTAACATATCAGTCAGTGCTCTAGCCAGCCTGAATTTTTTTTGTCATCTCATTTTGTCTGACATAACATCACGTCTAGTGTTGAAGGCCAGGTCAATTTTGAAATCTTGACCCTCTGAAATGCCATTTCCTGCATTTTGAGGAGCAAATTTTGCTGGAAATCTGCCTATATCTTTTACACACAGATTTTTTCTGTCAAAGATGATGGATTGGACAAAATTTTTGAAGAGAGTAAATCCATCTTTAAGCTTTAACTTTAAGTTTAAGAATTCATGTTGTTATACAGCAGGCTTTTAGCCAGGATTTTTTTGTTGGGTGTCCATTTTTTTTATTGTGTACTATGCACAGCAAAGATGTGCGGTGCTGAAGCTTTTTAGGGGGGCTTTTTTGAAATTCATAGTGCTCTCAAACACTCCTTTTTGTATTTTGAGGTGCAAATTTTTAATTTTTTCCTTCAGTAAACCATCATTTTTTCTATTTATAGTAAGGCTGAAGGGAGGCATGTGTGCATGGCAGGGGTTGGGAGTGGAAAAAATAGGGCGTCTTTAGGGTGTCCTACCAAAAAGTAGGGCGTCCAATTTCTTAGTATTTTCACTACAGGGCGTCCAAAAGACACCCTGGACACCCCCTAGCTAAAAGCCTGTTATACAGCTAGACCAAACCAGTATACCTACCAGTGTCCAGTATCATCTGTACTTGAGATATACTTATAAACCAGGGCTCGACATTCATTTTTGGTAAAAGGTACACTGGTGCACCCAGCCTAAAAAATTAGGTGCTCAAAAATTTTCTTGGGTGCACCAAATCAGAGCTTACTGCCCCTCTGCTGAGCTTGAATCTGAAATGGGAGCTAACTTCAAAATGTTAAACATGTACTAAAACAAAGATTTTATTATTTTTCTGACTTTTAGATGTCAAGAATATCCTGTATACAGTAACTATTATACATTTAACAAAGATTGTACAAAAATGGCTACAAAAATAATTGGATGTACCAGTGCACCCACTGAAAAAAATTGGGTCCACAACTCAACATCACAAAAAATTGGGTGCACAACTCAACATCACAAAAAATTGGGTGCACAACTCAACATCACAAAAAATTGGGTGCACAACTCAACATCACAAAAAATTGGGTGCACAACTCAACATCACAAAAAATTGGGTGCACATTCACATCATGACATGTTGAGTCCACTGATTCTGACATGTGTTTGTCTCCCCACAGAGTGACCAACAGTCCACCAGTGCTGAGGAACTGTCTGAGGTAGGGTTTATCAAATTGTTCAGCATCATGGCTAAAGTTGTTTATTGGAGGTGTAACTTGAGGCCAGCAGTAGAAATAGATAAAAACCCACTGTTCCTGGGCCGGGGTTCGAACCCACGACCAAACCTGGGCACCAGTCCACATGCCGACGCTCTAACCACTCGGCTGAAAGGTCTTGACCCATCGGCTGGATCAGTTGGTAGCGCATGTAAACCCCCACTGTTACACTACTCCCCTGTTTCTTTTCAAGATTCGTCCTCGAATCTTCCGAATTCGACATCCCTGGAGCGGCACTCTTTGCCAGAACTCCCAGGGCCAGTGTGGGAACCACTGTAAGAAACCAGGAGGAGCCAGTAAAAACCCACTGGTCCCGGGCCGGGGTTCGAACCCACGACCTCCCGGGCACCAGCTTCAAACTCAGACGCTCTAACCACTTGACTAAAAGGTCTAGACCCCGCAGCCGGGTCAGTTGGTAGCGCCTATACCCCCCCCCCCACTGTTACAGACTGAGGTATACTATAAATGAATTGTTATAAACACTTTGTGTCAGATGACTTAGAGGAGAAGTTGGGCCCAGGAGCAGGTGTCATTTTTTGATAGTAGCTAGCGGTAGTACCGTGACAGTAGTAGCAGACATTATTATGAATATAAAGTCATCCACGTAGCAGATTTATAGTTATTATAGTTTGAGTGTTAAATAATGCATGATATTGTCCTTCCATCAAGGAACCTCTATCAGGAGCATATCAGGATACAGGGCTCGAAATACATGCATATACTTAGTGTAGGTAAAATTGGAGCTGTGCAGGTACATGTATATGTATAATTATTATACATGTACAGTAGGTGTATGTGGATTTTTATCTGCTGCATTGACTGTTACCACCTATGACATACAAAAAATGTATAAAAGGAACTAGAAAGGTCATGTATCCAAAGTGTTCAACATCAGGGCAATGATGGACAGTGTTTGAGTGTAGTTTTGTGTGTGTTTACAGGAGGGTGAGGACAGTGTTTGAGTGTAGTTTTGTGTGTGTTTACAGGAGGGTGAGGACAGTGTAGCCCTGGATGTAGCTCGTGTAGAACTGAAGCAGGCCAAAGCTCAGATCCATGCCCTTGAGGAGAAACTGTACGGGAAACAGGCAGCGCTGGAGGCACTGACTCAGGACTGTGAGCGGCTCAAGGCACAAGGGCAGCACCAGGGAGACACACAGGTAGGAAGAAATACTGTTTTCCAACTCAATAACGAAAATGACTGACCAGAAATTTTTGACTGAATCACTCAGTCTTCATCAGCTTTATGACCCAAGTGCTGTGGACACTTCAAGCAAGGACATAATAAAATAGCTATATAAGAAACATGTACAGAAACAGCGTAAGAACATAAGAAACAACATAAGATTAAGAAACAGCATAATTTGTATTTGTCCGGTTCAAAATGTAATGATCAATCAATGGAGAGGACATTGTGTATTTTATTTTAGTTTCCTCATTTTACTTTTAGGACCCACAGATTTGTGTATCTATTTTTCTCTGTATGCCTGCTTTCATTGGAACCAGGAATTTATGGTATGCTTTGCCTTAGTAGATGACAAGTTGTTTTGCTTTATTCATGATTTGTTTATTATTTTGCATCTTTGTAGGGAGCCCAAAGTGGAATTGAAAAGACTGTTGAAGCGACTGTTCACAAGACCAGTGTTGCAGAATACAAAGAAAAAGTAGGGACAAATTCTGACTTCAACATTGCATCATTCTTGTAAACTGTTTTTTTTTTACACTTTGTTTGTCTTGATGCAAAGGTTAAAAAATTTGTTTATGCTTATCATGACTTGTTTCCTTTTGCTTGGTCCAAGGCATATTTGAGAAAATTTGAACCATTAATATGTTAAAGTGTAATGTTCTTTCAGATTCTCCATTGTTCTAAACAAATATCCTATGCCAGTGTTAGAAATACCTACCTGCAGTCTGAATTTTGCAGAGACATTTTCAATAGATAATAGCGGAATAAAAATTAAGCAGACTGGACTTGTGTATTTGCAGAAAGTATTTTCTGAATGACGGAATAAAATTTTGACATTCTGCAGTAGGATTTTCTTTTTACATTAAACAAAACTTTTCTCCGTGTCTATCAGACACCTTCCTCAGAGCTTCTGACTGGAGTTCTGCTTCTTGCTGCCAATGTAGGTGGCGCTTTTGCGGCGAGAACACAATCCCAAACATGGCTGAGTTTGTATCCCCGCTGAAAATTGCAGCAGACTGCAAAATGATTTCTACAATTGTGCAGATGTAGATGTCACAGGGTTCTCACCAGAATTTTTTCATAGCATTGGGGTCAGGTACATGTACAGAAGAGCAACTTTCGTGGTGCAAATCGCACATTAAGCCGAAATATTTTGAAACTCATAACCCCCTGAGACACTATTTCTTGTTTAATGAGGAACAGATTTTGTGAAGTTAAGGTTTTCCCTTTGCTATAGCTTCATTCTAAAGTTATATTGTCATTTTTTGCAAGATTTATGAAGGTTTCTCCATCCCAAAACACCCCTATGCTGGTTGAAAGACAGCATAGGGGTCAAAATTATAGCATAGGGGTCAAAATTATAGCATAGGGGGTCAAAATCATTAGGGGGGCCCCTACGCTAAAAAGGCCTGGCTAGAACACTGTGTTGGTTGAGCGGTTACAGCTACAGTACATAATGAAGTAAACACCTGTTTATTTTGTCTTCAGCTGCAGGAGTTCCAACAGGCTATTACCCAGAGAGATGACATCATCAACCAGCTGTCAGTCAACCTGCAGGTCACAGTACAGGAGAGAGACTCTGTACAGCAGGAGGCGGGGCTACAGGTGGCACAACTCACCCAGCAGATCCAGACCTTACAGCTGCAGCTGCAACAGGTGCACTGTCCAAACTAACTCTCAGTATAGTCTCCCCAACACTGCCCAACTCCCACTTAGGCCACACCAATTTAATTTGTTGGTTCTCGGATTTTTTTCATAAAAAATATGAAGCGACAGGGCGAAAAAAAACCCAGGTCTAGGCATCCTATTAATAATAAAGTATTATAGCTCCAAATGCTTTGATAGGAGCCATGAAGTCCAGGCTGGGTTAATATTTAAACAATGAATTTTGAACTTGATCAAACCACTGCATTGATAGATGGAAAAATCTGTGACAATTAGGAAGAAAAGGACTTTCCTTAACTGTTGGGGGCAAAATATTAGCATTTTTGAGTTGATTCAGAACCAGAATCTTTTTTTATTTTTTTTGCAAATCAGAAAAAAATGAAGAGGCGAATCCGAGAACCAAAAAATTAAATTGGTGTGGTCTAACCAAGGAGTAGGTCAGGAACAAGGTCAGCTGGTGTTAGGCAAGGTCAGCTACTGTTCAGCGGTGCCAGTTGAAAGTTTCAAAATGTTTCAAACAATCTTTTGTGGTTGGGAGGTTTGGCCATAGGATTTTGGCTAGTGTTTGGAAGTACATGTAGGTTGGGGCATGGTTGTCAGTCAAATTTGATTCAAATGTAACTCAAATTCGATTTGATTCACATCAAAAGGTAAGCGTGGCCTAAATCTGGTCAGCCTGCCCTCAGATGTTAGCCAACTTTAATAGGCTGTTGTTTGGGGGAATATGAATATTATATGACAGGGGCTTTGATTGACTTCAATTATAAAAATCACCTACTTTTCATAACATAACATAACATAAAGAATTAATTTGTTTTTTATTGAATCACATTTACATGGTATTAGTTATCAATAAATAATTTGTATGTGATGTTAGCTTAGAGGCACAGTTTTGTACTTTGTGTAGGACAGCTGACAATGTTCACTTCAGTGTGGTAGTCAGTCTGAATTTTTGCTAGTACACTAACTTGCTTAGTTTGCAATGACATCTCCTTCCATATTTTTACACACTGATTTTTTGTTCATCAAAAGTTTTGTCTCATGAGCTGCAAAATGCTGTCAAATGATGGAAAAACGGGTTAGAACACTGGTGAACATGTAGACCTGTGTTTTCCAGGCAGGTGAAATGCTGAAGAGTCAGACAGGACAGCAGGGCACGTCTGTGGAGGACCTGTTTGCCACACAGCAGCAGGTCATCACCTTACAGCAGAAAATTCAGGAACAGGAGAGACTGTTACAGGAGAGGGACAGCCTGTTACAGCAGGGAGACAGCGCCATGAGGGAGAAAACAGACCTGCTAGAGCAGAAGGAAGCAGCTCTGTCAGCGCTGGCTCAGAAAGCTGCCCGGCAGTCAGAGGAGCTGCAGAACCTGCGGGAGGGCATCACGTCTGCGGAGACAGTCAAGCAGCAGATGGACCTGCTGAAACAACAGTCATCAGAAGAGATCCGTACTCTCATGCAGACCGTGGAGGAGCTGCAGAAGAGGTTACATGACTCTGCGGGAAGAGAGCGGGGGGAGGGGAACGTACAAGCTCTGGAGTCACAGAGAGCAGAACTAGAGGAGCTACACGGGCAGCAGATTCAGGAGATGAAGGAAAGTATTAAAGAGCAATATCAAATACTAACTGAGAAACTCCAGCTAGAAAATCAAACACTGAGACAGCAGCAGCAGGAAGAGATGGAAGCACTCCGGTTAGAACTGGCTTCAGCTGCTGCCAGGCGGGATGAGGTGGAACAACAGTGGTCAGAGCAGAATGAGCTCGTCCAATCACTGACTCAGGAGGTTTCACGGTTAACTGCTGCAACAGAAGATTCTGCTGCGTACCTGAATGTTGTGACAGAGTTGAAACGAGAGTATGATTCCAAAATACAACAGTTGGACGACTTAGTAAAATCTTCTGCTGCAGAAAATGAACAGCTGAGGAGAAAAGAGGAAGAGAGTAAGCTGAAAATTACTGAACTATCACAACAGCTGCAGACTGTTTCAGAAGAAAATGTGCAACTAAGAACCCAGAAGGAAGAGACAGTTGCTGTCCAGAAGAAGCCTGAGACAGACTTGAGGCTGGAGGATGAGCTACAGAAGATCAGAGGACAGCTCAAAGATGTAAGGGATGAACTTGAAGAGGCACAGTTTGATAAAGAAAGTCTTCAGCAGTCACACCATGCAGAACTCACACGCTTGAGATCAGAACTCATCTACGAGCATGAGAACAAAATGAAGGTCTTCAAAGACAATCTGGAAGCAACATTCCAGCACAAGGTGGAATCCATTAAAGCTAAGAAAGACCGAGAATTTGTGGAACAACTACAACAAGCTCGGGCGGAGATGGAAGAAACACACAAGAGGGAACTGGAGGAGCAGAGAAAACAGTACTCCATAGAATCACTTCACTTCACCGAGGAAGAAGCACCAGAGGTGTCTGAACTGTTGTCCTCCCTGCAGCAGGAGAACAGAGACTTGTCAGAAGCACGTGACGCACTGTTAGAACAGATAGACCAGTCCCACCATGACCTGGAAGAAATGCAAGAAGAGCTTCTAAAAGTCGCCAATGCCAAAGACAAAATCATCGCCGAGAATGAGTCCCTCAAGCAGCAAGTTCGAGACTCGGTAGGGCAAAACACGTCTCAGAGGATCCTAAACCTGGAGAGAGAACTACAGGAGCAGAGACAGACCTTCTCTTTTGCAGAGAGGAACTATCAGGTTAACATGGAGGAAATGCAGGCTGAGTGTACACAGCTGCTGGAAGCCAAACAGGTTCTGGAGGAAAGAGTGAACGAGCTACTAGCAGCTAAAGTATCCTCAGCTGCAGGTGAGTTTGGCCCTAGTGGAGATGTCCCATCTACAACAACAGACAGTACAGCACAGACCAACTCAGAACTAGTACAGGAACTTCAGGACTTAAAGGACAAACTCAAGGAACAAGAAGAACTCCTGAGTCAGCTGGAATCCCTCAAGCAAGCCTTGGATGTTGAGAGGCAGAATAAAGTTATTCTGGAAGAGAAGGCCATGAACCAAATGAACTCTTTTGAGCTTGAGAAGAAGACCCTACAGGACCAGATAGTTAATCTCCAACAACTGGCAGCTGAAAGTGACCAGGCTCTTCAAGTGACAAGACAGAACGAGTCGGACAGTGACTTTGATAGAATCTTCAAGGAAAACCAAGAACTAAGAAAGACAATACAAACAGAACAAGAGGAAAGGGGAAATGCAGACGCATTGTTATCCACGCTAACAGAAACTCTTGAGTCAGTGAAGAATGAGTTGAAGTTGAGAGAATCAGAACAGTTGGAGTTACGGGAAGCGGTGAATCAAGCTATGGCAGACAAAGAAGAAAGTTTGGCTTCAAAAGATGCAGAATTACAAAATCTGAAACGGGATATAGAAATCCTTCGTACAGCATCAAATGGCCAGGAGGACAAGTCAACTGATGATGAGTTTCAAACATTGGGTCAACCACCGTCAGAAAGCCTTCTGCAAGAATTAGAACAGGTGAAGAAAGAATTAAAGGAGACACAAGAGATATATTCCAAGGAAAACAAGTTGCTTAAAGAAGCACTAGAGTATGAGAGAAAGGGCAGCCCATTGCTTGAGCAGGAGGAGCAAGGACAGCTACAGGAGGAGCCAGGACAGCTGCACAGCAGGATGGTACAGCTACAGGAGGAGCAGGAACAGCTGCAGAGAAGGGTGGTACAGCTGCAGGAGGAAGTGTCCAGGAGAGAAGACAGGGAGCAGGAACTCATACAGGAAAAGAACCAGCTGGTAGCAGTGCTCAAGGTACTTATCTGATAATGATGTTTCTGTCCATTCAGGCCTGATTACCTCCATGAAGGTATTGTTTTGGTATGACAGACTGAAAATCACTTCTACATCTTGTAGCACTTGCTGCTTTTACACACGATTACAGGACCTGGTGTTTTTTGTTACATTACCTCCCTGACAGCTGTTTCTCTAACTTGTACGATAAAGAAGAGGGTACACACCTCAGTTTTTCTGCGACAAAAAGTGACGGAAGGGCTTTGACTGTCCAAGTTTGAGTTCACATTAATTTTCTCATAGTCATAATCTGCTGTGAAATCAGATATCTGATGCTTTATGATAGATACTACGTACAGATTATGGACTGAAAAGTATTAAGAAGTGTTTTTTGGGGTGTGAAGATTGGGTAACATGTTAATATTACTGTCTGTGTTAGCATTATGAATGGAATGAAAAAAAGCTAATCTGTGACATGCAATGTTGTCTTTTTTTTTACGGAGTTAGTTCAGTGCAAGGCTTATCCACCCATTACTCGGCATTGAATAGAAAGATGAGAGAAACATGGCTATGTCAAGAGATGACGGTGAACGTTTGATTTGAAAGCCTGTAGATTGTAGGTTGGTGGGAAATACTTGTCAGGGAGGGAATTCCAAAGCTTGGCCGTACGGGGAAAAACTGTCACTGTAAAAAAGATTTTATAACAAGCTTAAGGAATTTGCAATCTTGCTGCAGGAAAGGACAGCCCAGCTGCAGCAGGATAAGGAGACAGTACAGCAGCAGCTGCAGCAGCAGGAGGACCTGGTGCAGACTTTCCAAACTCGCATGCAGACTTCTGACTCTGTCAGTGCTGAGGTGCAGCAGGTATGTTTAATATTAAATATTAATATTAAGACCTGGTGCAGACTTTCCAAACTCGCATGCAGACTTCTGACTCTGTCAGTGCTGAGGTGCAGCAGGTATGTTTAATATTAAATATTAATATTAAGACCTGGTGCAGACTTTCCAAACTCGCATGCGGACTTCTGACTCTGTCAGTGCTGAGGTGCAGCAGGTATGTTTAATATTTATATTAATATATATGTTGCAACCCCTCAAGTTGAAGTCACATCACAGTAGCATTGGATTCCTCATCCTCTTAACTACTGCTAAGCCCAATGATTAATTAGGCCAAAGCAAAGCAAAATAAAGTAAATTTTATGGATGACATCCCCCGCAGACTCCAAATCTAATGCAAGCGGTCGATAAAAAACAAGCTAGGCCAAAAAAACAAGGTTCCTACAATTGAAAATTTTGACTCATTCAATCATTGTACACAAATGGTTTTTATTCAGTGGGAACATCACATATACACAGCCAACATCACATATCACTGCATTAAAAGTAAGAAAACATTAAATCTGAGCCTTTTCTTGTCTCCTTTCTTCATACATTTTGTAGTTATCTGCCATCCACCTTCCGGCATGGCAACTCCTTCACAAAGTCTTTTCATAAGTAATTATATATTAATCATGTTTACTTAAAACATTAACATTCCATCTGTTTTTTTTATTAGAATGAATGAAAAGAATGAAGCCATAGATTCACTACAGAGTAAGATATTTCCCTCTGCAGGTGTTTGGTCGTCAGCTGTCTGCCCTGCAGGCCCAGAGAGATGAACTCCTGAGACAGCTGGAGACACACAGACAACAGCAGACCTCCTTCTCTGACATCCTACTGGAGAAAAACGCCCTGGAGGAAAACCTGCAGAAGGAGAAGGAGTTACTGAGAACAAAGTTACAGGAGAAGGATGATCTGGAGAGAGGGCTGCAGGAGGAGAGGAAGAGGCTGGAACAGCAGGTCCAGGAACAGAGGAGACTGGAGGCAGTTCTAGAAGAGAAAAATAAACTGGAGCAGGAGCTGGCCAAACAGGTTTGTTTGTTTGTTTGTTTGTTTGTTTGTTTTAGGGTCTCCATTAGTGCATTTATTTACATATTATTAAGTTTCACGCTATTCTTCCTGGAGTCTGCAAGGATGATGATTTAAACAGGGCTCAAAATACTGGGTGCCAAAATTGGAGCTGTGCACCTAATTTTTTTCTGTGGGTGCACTGGTGCATCCAAATATTTTTGTATTATCAAAATGTATTAGGCCACACTTGGTTAACAGATTTTTCTAGAAAAATAATGGAGCGGACGGGCGAAAAAAAAACAGGCCTAGGCATCCTATTATGGCCCAAAATAGTACAATAGGAGCCATGAAGTCAACACACCAGGCTGGTTCAAAATTTAAACAAGGAATTTTGAACTTTTAATGATACCACTGCATTGAAAGATGGAATAACTGTAACAACTAGGAAGAAAAGGACTGTTTTCAACTGTTCACGGCAAAATATGAGCATTTTGCAGTTGATTCTGAATTTTTTTCTTTCCAAATAATAAAAAGAATGAAGGGGACGAATCTATTAACCTGGAAATTAAATTGGTGTGGCCTTATAGTATACAGGATATTCTTGGCATCTAAGTGTCAGATAAATAATAAAATCTTATAAGCTGTGCTGTCTGTGTTGTAGCGTGAGCTGGAGGGACAGCTGAGGGAGATAGAAGAACGTTAACTAACTAACTAAGCTGTGCTGTCTGTGTTGTAGAAACGTGAGCTGGAGGGACAGCTGAGGGAGATAGAAGAACGTTAACTAACTAACTAAGCTGTGCTGTCTGTGTTGTAGAAACGTGAGCTGGAGGGACAGCTGAGGGAGATAGAAGAACGTTAACATAAACTAACTAAGCTGTGCTGTCTGTGTTGTAGAAGATAGAAGAACGTTTACAAACTAACTAAGCTGTGCTGTCTGTGTTGTAGCGTGAGCTGGAGGGACAGCTGAGGGAGATAGAAGAACGTTAACTAACTAACTAAGCTGTGCTGTCTGTGTTGTAGAAACGTGAGCTGGAGGGACAGCTGAGGGAGATAGAAGAACGTCTTCATGAGAAGGAGGTACAGCTGGCAGAAGAGAAGGAACTGTTGGCGCGGGAGACCAGGATAAAGGAAGTGGAGATGAGGAGATGGCAGGCAGATCTCAAGGTACATGTACAGTACATGTCATGTGTGTTAGACTAAAGCCTCAGTCACAACCTGCCGTGCATGCTTTTTGTCCGTATGTTTTTTGGTAGGCTTCGTTTTTCTTGAAAACATGGGGAAGGAGTGGTATCGACGCACGCTTGCGCAAGGTGTAAGAGTGTGGTCTGCTACACCGCGTCTGGCCGTGAGTGGTTGCGTGCATCGTTCTTTGCGCAAGTGGTAAGTGAGTTGTACGTGCTTACATCGTACGATCTCTGTGCGATTGCAACTTTACCGTAAAGAGGCCGTACTCACACGTGCTTCTTCCATACGTTACGTACGGCGCACGCCCGTCGCCCGTACTCGCTCGTACGGGTGGTGAATCCGCAGACCGCATGCAAAAAAGTTTTACATGCACTTTTAAAAAGTTCTTCGGCATGTCTGCGTGCTCACCACACACGGATGCCCTACGTTTACCCACGTTTTTGGATGTAGACAGCACGCTGATGCACGTACGGCGGGTTGTGACTGACGCTTAAGGGTGGTGTTGGTGATTATGATGTTGCTAGAGAATCATCCTCTTCATGGTCAGTTTGTGTATGTACCAGTGTTCTAACCTGGTGTCCAGTGTCCTAATTTGTCTGGTGCAGGTAATTTTCAATGTTACCCACAATGGTACATGGTGTAGGTATGCAGAAAATAGTATTTGGAAGCCCGAAAGGCTTATGTTTCTGTATCTGTATCTGTATAGCCGGTATAACCGCCTTTCAGCGTAACACACCGGCTTCGCCGTCACGCGGCGCGGCGGCAGTTGGCTTAACATTACACCGATCAACTTGTTACACCTAACCCTTGAACATCTAACTCTAGACATTGTTTAAAGCTATCTAGTGACATTGCCCCTAAATTTGTCTATATTTGCAGGAGAAGCAGCTAGAGTTCCGTGATCGGGAGGCACAGCTGAGGACTCACTTCTCCACTCAGATCCAGAAGGTCCAGTCCAGTACTGAGGAGACTAACATCAAGAGGATCCAGCTCATGCGTGTGGAGATGGAGGGGAGACACAAGGATGCCATCCAGCGGCTGAGACGAGAACTGGACCAAGACTACAGCGTTCGTGAGAAGCGTCTGAGAGACGGGCACTCGGCTGCTGTATCCATACTCAAGAAACAACACCAGCAGCAGGTGTGGACTTCTTCTTAGATTTCTCATTTGCTGTGATCAATCAGGCACTTTCAATTCAATTCCTTAGTAAAAAAACACACTGAACAGTTTTGTTATCATGCACATTGCACATTTTTCTCCGTCAATAGAGTTATCATTAAACTTCAATCAAAAAAAATTTAGCCTTGGAAATGGTAATTTTTAGATAATGGTTTTTGTCTTTTAATCTCTGAGGAGAATTTTCCATTCACCAATCTTAGCCATCAATCCATTCTTTCTGTCTTTCTTGAAATTTATTTCTTTGTGAAAAATCTTGAACTAAGGAATTAGATTGAAGTGGCCTACTGTTGTGTGAAGTGGCTTAGTAGACAGCATTATTGCTTAGAGATGATGAAATAACCTTTACTGACAACCTTACAAGTGTCTTCTTAGCACACTCAGGACTGGCAGGTACATGTACTTTGCTACTAAAGTTAATGATTATAAAGACCACGTATCTACCTATAAGTTAGCACACTTTCTTGCCAAAAAAAATTTAACTTCCAGTGTTAGAATATATAAAGTTACAAATATGACTAATTACAGTAAGTATATAGCGTTCCAGAAATTCGTGACATTGAACGTGTAGAATGTAAGACAGTTACATTCCTCCATCTTACCCTGCCACAGGATTGTACTTAACATATCAACAGCAAAGTAAAAAGTAGAAAATGACAACATGTCACTTTAAATTTGTAGCAGTTTGAATAGTAAGAAGAGCTTAATATGAAGAAATATTATCTTACAGTTCTATCCATACAACAGAAAAGTAATATTGTAGTCTAGGTAGAGGAAATAAAGAAAAGTATAGTTTTGTCGATGTTGACCATCCTAAGTGACCTTTACCTTTAAAATTAAAGAAAAAGTCTTAATCTCCAAAGTGTTGTTGTGCCACTGATAGAAAATATTTTTTATCTATGAAATTTTACAAAATGTATCAGAACTGCTTTCTTGTTGTTTGCAGTTCAGAAATGCAAGAATTATCAGTAACTGTTGGAAAGTTGACAATTTGTCCAGTTTGGATCTGAAGTTCCTTATGAAAGTTGGGAAAGAAAATAGCATCAGATGTTTCTATGTGATATTATTGTGTATATATTGACATGTGGCATCTTGTTTTTAATTTTATGTAGCATTGTGTCTGCTTTATTCATTTTTGATAGTCATTTCTGCATAGCAGTCAAAGCAGGCAGTGTCAGACAATATGCTATTGATTCCAACTGCCATCATATGTGAGTGAGTGTGTATATTTATTGAAAAAAAAACTTGGTTTGGATTTGACCAATGCTTTTATAAATTTATCTATTAGTATTACTTATCCAGTCTACTAGCTAATGACACTAATTGCTGTCATTTCAAACATAAAATTTAATCAGATTCTTGTAGATTAAAGTATTTGAATTAACTTCATTACTTGCACTAACATGTATTATCTAATTCTGAATTTTTTTCTGAAAGATTTAGGCTGAATAAAGAGACTCTTTTTACACAACCTAATAAAAGGTTCATGCAGCCGACATTTTGGTGACACCCGGACCGTCCAATGTGATCCTACTCTCCAAGCAGAGGTTTGGGTTTTGGGGTATTTTTAACGTGTTTTTAGGCTTTTTTATCGGGGTTTCTTTTTTGCACTGGAATTTTTCTTTCACTCAACCCAACCTCTGCAGGCAGTCAAAAGCATCAATGCGTTACAAACCTAGTAATCACTTCAACACATTACAGTCGTTCTGCAAAGAGGTGTGAACCAGACACATGAATAGGCACAGTCAGCAGGAGGCGTGTGGCCGAATGAATGCCTTTCTGACTGGCTGGATGTGTGATAATAAAATGGATATCCCTAATGATAATTTGATGGTTCCCCGGGAGGAGCACTGTCACGTTTCTTGAATAGGTTTGCCCCGCCCCGGGGTGAGTGCAGGCAGAGGTTGGGTTAGGTGAAAGAAAAATTTCAGTGCAAAAAAGAAACCCCGATAAAACAAGCCTAAAAGCATGTTAAAAATACCCCCAAACCCAAACCTCTGCTCGGAGAGTAATGTGATCCAGTCAGAATTGCCGTGAAACGTCGGTTGAATAAACCTCTTGGTTGTGTAAAAAGAGTCTCTTTATTCAGTGACTTACCAACCTGATGCAACTGTTTGAAAGATTTAGGCTGCATGTTGCATGCATGATGGCCATTCTTTTGAATTAATATTGTCTTCACTTGTCCCAAATAGTGATGCATACCTAAACCCAATTTTAGGTTCAGGTCCGGATTCAAGTCCAGAGGTTTAGGTTCAGGTCCGGACTTGTAAGTCCGGACCTAAACCCATGGCACACACAAAATTGCATGTTGGCAACTTTGCAATGTTATCTGGGTGAAACTTTGGCCACATAACATGGAGGCCTGTACTTGACGATGCCCGATGGCAATGTTTTCTTCATTTTGCAGCAAAGTTTTTGGAATCTACGGAAGGTTTTAGGTGGTTTAAAAAGAAAAGGGGTATGTGAAATGATCTTTTATGGTAATAAGTCCGGACTCGGTTCTTGACTTTTAGGTTTTTTTGGACTTGAACCTAAACATTCTTACAAGTCCGGATCCAAGTCCAGTGAACCGGTATGCATCACTAGTCCCAAACAGCAGAGTGATAGAACTAAATATTCCATCTGTCCCTATATGTACATGTACATGTGTCTATACTATAGACCAGTGTTGTCAAGCTGGCCTGAATTTTTTTTCCGTCAGCTCAATTTTGTTTGACATAACATCATGTCAAGTGCCAAAGGTGCAACAAAACCCTAGTGTGGTTCGGGGCATGCTTCAATATTGAAATTTTTAAATCTTGAAAATTTAAAGCACAAATGCTGTTCTCTGTATTTTTAGGGGCAAATTTTGCTGGTTGACGTCAATCTTAGTTTTGATGATATCTCCATATCTTTACATGCTGTTTTTTGTCAGTCAAAGCCTATTATGAGCAGCAAAATTTTGTGAAATGTCAGAAAGACAGATGCTGGCTAGAACATTGTTGTAGAATGTCAGTAGCAGTAGTTATAGGCCACCAGTCCTGTACTGACAGTTTTCATCTCCCATTTTTGCCACTAACACAATTGCATGGATTACATGTAGGCTGATCATCACTAATACTTTTAAGTACACTTCATTAAAATGAACTATACAATCATGTAGCATAATCAATTAGACAGGAACACATCTCACTGAAATAAAAGTCATGTGGACTGAGAACATATAGTACCTTGCAAAGTTCTAACTTTGACTAAGAATGCAGCAAGGAAATGCAGTCAAAATCAAATTAACACTGTCTTAGCCCTCTGTCTAAAAATCCAACTAAATTAACTCCCATGAATAAATATTAGATAAATAAATCACCCCCACCTTTTAAGTTACATAGTTTTACCATGATTTTGAAATTTTCCAATCTGTTTATCTAACCCAAGTTATTTTTTAAATGTTATCATTCAGTGGATTATTGTTACAGATAAAAGGAAAATGTGCAGGGACAACCAATGTCCTTGCTGTGTGTAACAATGAACATGGCATGCTAGTAGACATTCAAGTGTTTATCAGACTCATATTATATGGGCAGCTATTTTGATTACTATTATTATGTCTTATTTAATCAGGCAGCCAAACTAGTGTTTAACTTACTAATAAACAGCAAAAGTCTAACATTTGCTTTTCAATTAGTGTATTGTGATCCCTGTGGCCAAGCCTTTGATTCAGTTTTACTTTTTATTATACAGTACTGTAAAGCACATCAGCCTGGTAGCCATCCCATTGGGTTCTCTGCTATGTCTTTGCTGCAGCACACTTAGGGAATTTTTATTGTGCTACATATAGTTTCAGTTACCGGTACTTCAGACTAATTAGTAAGGCTGGTTAGAAAGATACTGTAGGCTGGTAGAAAAAGACCTGCTTATTAGGCCACACCAATTTAATTTGTTGTTTCTCAGATTTTTTCAGAAAAAATATGGAGCAACAGGGCAAAAAAAAAAAACCCAGGCCAGGGCACCCCATGATAGCCGGAAATGTTACAATATGAGCCATGAAGTCAACATATTAGGCTGCAGCTGGTTTATAATTAAAACAATAATAGATTTTGAACTTTTAATGAAACAAAATTGCACTGTTACATTGAACAACTTTAACAACTAGGAAGAAATTATATTTATTTAAAGCACTTTCTTCAACCCTTGGGGCCAAAAAATGTCTTTCATTGAGCATTTTGCAGTTAATTTAGAACCCCCCCCCCAATTTTTTTTTTTTTTTTGCAAATCAGAAAAAAAAAGGACAGGGCAAATCCGAGAAACAACAAATTAAATTGGTGTGGCCTTAGGACTGGGGCCAGTAAATCGCCCTACATGTATGCTGGCCTGTGGAGGTGGTTACCAGGCTATACACACGTGCAACGTCAGACTCTGTTTGATAAAACTTTGGAATAAACGTAGATGACAAAACATGTTTCTATTTGTGTTTTTTTTGCCTTTGTGCTTATTTTATTGTTTATAAATTTAAACTAGACTAAGTGAGAAATGTTGATGGAGTCTTTAATTTTGACAGCATGACTTTGTACAATGTAAAATGGTGCTGGCTGGTCACTTTGGGTCAATGGGTGCGCTGTCTATCCGCATCACTGTCTTGTCTTGTCACCATGCTTTTTGTTAGCATCCATAGCATGCCAAAAACTGGGGTTTTTGGGGCGGGGTCTTCAGGGTCTTTGGGAGCTTTTATGTGCTATTTTCTGATTGCATATAGACAACATAGCCGGCCTGATTGAATTACTCCCATTTTTTAGAACTGGGCTAATCAGAAAACAGCCGAAGACCACCAAACCCCCAGTTCTATAAGCCTGCTACGGAGGCTAGCTTTTTGTATATTAAGAAGAACAACTTCCCTAGATGGTCATCTTAGACAAGTTTGACCATAAATTTAGACCTTTTTATTAGAAGATATTATCGAATCTCAATGAATAATTAGGAGGTGAACAGGAAAGTGTTTGGTAGCCACAGCACAAATCTTCACACCAGTTAGGAACTGCTACCAAATTCTAAACTTGTACGAAGTAAAACACAAGTACATGTACAAGAGAAAATGGACATGAGAAAATGTGTATTTATATTCAGAATCTGACGTATGCAACATGATTGTGGACATGTCACACGTGCAAAGGAAATTAGATAGATACTTCTTGTAAAAATGTAAGTGACATCAAGGAAATACTACCATATGTGACCTACTGAAAATGACAGATTTGACAAACAAAATGTAGACAGGAAAATGAAAACTATATTTTCCTAACAAAACTAAAAAAAACAGATCACAGAGTAGTAAACAGATGAATACCAAACAATGGTAATATGGGCCTAACTGTTGTTTATAGTTAAAACTTTTGGTCCAACACAAAGAAGTTCTCTCTCCTAGAGCTTTTGACCAGTCACTCTGGTCTTCCTCAGTAGACTGACTCAGTGAAGCTTGTCACGTGGTTCTTTGAAGCTGGGTCAAAATTATCTGGTAGACGATGTCGGCCCCCGTCACGGTTCAATGAAGGGTGATGGGCCTTGATGTATATCATGGCTTCCTTCACACCTCTCAAGAAATAGTCCTGTTCAGTGTCCAAAATCCTAAGAGTACCTCTGACCCAGTGTTGACGTCACACTTCAAAGAAGCCACGTGACAAGCTTCACTGGGTCAGTCTACTGAGGAAGACCAGAGTGACTGGTCAAAAGCTCTAGGTGAGAGAATTATTTGTGTTGGAACAAATTTTTAACTTAAAACAATCAATGACATGTAACTGCCAACACAGATGAAGTTTCATGAGAGCCTAACTGTTGTTGCAGCTGGCTGAGGTTGAGTTACAGTGTGAGCACAGCCTGCAGAAACTGCGGGAGGAGATGGAGGACAGGCGCAGAGAACAGCTGCAGGCAGTCAAAACTGTGCATGAGCGGGATAGGTGAGCTGCAGACATCTCTTATTACCTTGTGGAGATTATGTGTTAAGTACATCAAGTACATCATTGCCGTTTTTTGAATCGGTCATGACTTGGGTATGGTGTAGCCTTATGGTATTTGGTAAGGAGGTAGGTTGGAATAGGGACAACAAAGGTCAAGGTCAATTATGGTTAATCTAGTGGCTTTGCGCGGTACTGCAATGATGCACATAGTATTATATCTTGTGCTGTCGTCATGATTTTTGAGTGGGTGGGTCTTTAGGTTCGTGGCATACAATGTAGTTTTTGGTGAAATATCAGCTGAAGCACAATATGAAATGAAGCACAGAGCCTGAGACTGAGCTACCTTTAGTTATTAAATGAAAACTTTGTTCTTGTGACAAAGGGAGTTTCAATCCAAAGGTCTTGGTAGCAACCAAGTGTGTACAATCATCTTGTCTGCCTTAGCAGAAGGAAAACATATTGACAGTATAATTTGCTCTGTTTCTTCTTCCTCTTCTTCTTCATCTTCCATTGCAAAGTCAATGATCAGACATCTGTCATCATGGTAGCAGACACCCTGTGGTGCTTGGTTACATTATGTAGCAAGTTGGAGGGGCTGGTCACCATATACATATACATGTACATGAATGTGTTTGAGTAAGAATAAATACATTGTATATCTTGCCAGGCTAGACCATGTGAAGGTTAACATTATGCATGATTGTGCTTTGTTACCTAAAGGTTCGAGTTATCATTAATATGGTACAGTAACTGTATTAAGTGAACTGATCGTCAGGATGCAAAGGACTATGATGATGATGATGAGGAACTTGTTCCCCTGTCCAGAGAACGTGAGGTCCAGGACCTGAAGGTCCAGTACAGCCGCACTTTGCAGGCAGTCAGGGAGGACCTGGATGTGAAGCATCAGAACGCCTTTTGATCTGATGCAGCAGAAACTCAACTTTGTGCATGAAGAGGAGTTAAAACAGGTGGCAATGGAGGCTGAGGTAAGAGCTTTAGTTAACTCCAACCATATATGTACTACTTAATAATATGTACACAGTGCATTCATCATCATCATCATGTACAAAATGAAGAAGAGATAGAAAAAAATAGCACTGAGTGTGTGTGGGAGAATATGAGACAGTGTGAGTGAGATAGTGAGTGAGTGTGTGTGAGAGTGAGACTGAGTGTGTGTGTTGAAGAAAGAAATTATGTAATTTTGATTCTTTGGTGCAGGCCACTCAGAAAATATTTTCAAATTTTGGTGTTTCTAAACATCTAAGACCTACTGTGTTCCAGAAAATCACACCTGCATTATGTGTATTTCTTAATTATTTTCTCTATCTAGTTGGACCCCATACACTACTAACAGTGATTATCATATCTTGAAAGTTCATCTGTGTTGGTAGAAATCATTATGAAACAAGTTTAAGCTGTAATTTCCAACACAAGAAATTGGACTCACCCAAATTTTCGACTGTACAACTCCAGTCTTTGTCAACAGTAAATTAGCATTGACGTGTTCATAATCATACAGATTCATGAGTTATAACTTAATACCCTGAAATATTTTCTGGACTTACTGATTAAGAGCTGTAATGGTTGCAGACATTAAGAGCAGTTGTCTGTAAAAACCAAGCATAAGGTGGCCAAACTCAAAAAATCAAATTCTCTTAAATTTTGTGTGGTGGTAGGGACTTGGTCCAAACTTACAAAAATGGGTAAGTTTTGGTTCGCTGGTTGATGGTTGCCATGGCAACGGCCATTTTTCAAAATGGCGGATTTTTACCTTGTGGAGGCATAAGTCTTGCCCAAAATGGACCATCTTTTACCTTCCGTATCTCACAGAAAGTAACACATATCTCATTGCTTCTAACATATTTTATGATCCATATTGTAACTAAGAAAATGATATGAAGTTTTGCTCGAAATGTTTTGTGGTGAGCTGTAGCAGACGTTAAAAATGGCGTGTTTTTGTAAAATTTCAAAATTGAGAAAAAGCCATTTTTAGGACGTTTTTAGTGAACCATGGCCGCTTAAAAGGCAAGTAGAATTAGTTGATTTTTGGCACAGTTATGGCTATAACTTTTGTCTACAATATATCAGAAAATATCTTTGTGGTCTCCATGGGGGGGAGTACAGTGACCCCTAGACTAAACCATTATTTCCATTCTGAAAGAATCCCAACCGCTGCATTATAAGTGAAACAAGCATCCACAGCATGGCTATACAGTAAAGAAAACGAAATCGAAAGCTTTTTTTCAATTGCTAAGGAAACCTACCTGGCACTTACCAAAGTTGTTTCCTTCTGGGCTGACAACGGGTTACCATGACAACAGTTATATGGGGAGGGGGGCGGTGTTTTGAGG